TACCCCAAGCTTTAAGCTTAGGTCCACTTCCTCCATAGCCACAAACACATACGCATGTCAAACAAATTCATAATATGTCCAAAATAATATTAGGATTTCCTATTGAAAGAGATCAAAGCATAGTACGTGAACAGTAATTATGAACAGTAATTGTGAACAGTAATCATGAACAGTATCATGAACAATAACTCGTAAACAATACAATTTACTTATAATTCCTGCAGCAAAATTCACACCCAAATCAAACAATAAAAAGGACTAACTCACTATCTTTCCCATATAAGCCCCAAAATTAATGATATTTCTAATAAAAGTTTAATACCCAAAAATCTTATAAACCAAAGGATTAAAGTCAAATCTCACCAATTTAAACTACCTAAAACTCTAACCCAAAATTCATAACTAAAACTTATACTTACCTAACAAAAGCACCTTAACTTTGGTTGGAGAAAGAAGGAAGAAAAGGATGGAGGTGGAAGAGGAAGGCATAGGAAAACAAAATGAGGCTTTTGGGAGCCTTGTGGAGGCTTATCCAAGCTTCCACCGACAAAGGAAAAAACTTGGTTGGAAAAATGCCATGTGGTAAGCAAAATTGGAATAATTGAGTTATGGTCATTCAACTTCTACTAAGTTTTACTTAAAAACCCCAAACTTTAAATTCAATCAATTTAATCCCTAAAATTATAAACTAAAAGACACTAATTTTTAAATTATTCACTAAGGTATGTGGGGTGTTACATAATCAAATCTAAAAAATATAAATCTCTTTTATATTTGCTAGTTCTTGATGGTGGGCAACGAGAAAGCTACTTGAAAGGACAACTAGAATATCTAAATCCCACTTTGAATTAGTAATCACATCTAGAAAATATGAATCATTTTTCATATTTGTTAGTCCTTGATGGTGGACGACGAAGACGTTACTTGAAAGGACAACTAGAATACTTAAATCCCACTTTGAATTAATAATCAGATTTAGAAGATATGAATTAATCAAATCTAAAAAATATAAATCTCTTTTTATATTTGCTAGTTCTTGATGGTGGGCAACGAGAAAGCTACTTGAAAGAACAACTAGAATACCTAAATCCCACTTTGAATTAGTAATCACATCTAGAAAATAGGAATCATTTTTCATATTTGCTAGTCCTTGATGGTGGACGACGAGAATGTTACTTGAAAGGACAACTAAAATACTTAAATTCTACTTTGAATTAATAATCAGATTTAGAATATATGAATTAATCAAATCTAAAAAATATAATTTTTTTTTTATATTTGCTAGTTCTTGATGGTGGGCAACGAAAAAGCTACTTGAAAGGACAACTAGAATACCTAAATCCCACTTTGAATTAATAATGACACCCAAAAAATATGAATTATTTTTCATATTTGCTAGTCCTTGATGGGAGAAAGTCTACTATACAACGGGATACCACGTCAGGTGGTATCCCCATCCAATAACAAAATGACAGCTCATTAAATTGGAACACCTCATCATCTAATTCATAATCCAATTAAAGACAGCTCACTGTTCGACAGATACCACAATTTAACTTAACGAGCAACTCTTTATCCTCTGTAAATTAACTTAATCGTCTCTTCCCTATCCTCCCCCACGTGCTCATCGCTGACGAAAGTGGCAGTGACGATCTAAGTTTGCAAGATCCCTTACTCCCACCAAATTCCATCTTTCTTCTCTTTAATACAAAAAATATGAGTTCTTCTGAACTGTGAATAACGGGTTCAAGGAGATTTGTGGTATGGAAAACTTAGTTGTACACAAAAGAAAGAAAATCAACTTTTTCAGATATGGGTGAAAAAGAATCAGATTAAAGTTTTTTGGGTTGAAAAAAAAAGTTAAAACTTTCCAATGATGGGATTTTGGAGACAAAGCAACTCGGTGCTTAAATTCGCTTAAATCCTAGATCAATACAAAACTCTATGCAATTTGTTCTTGCGTTGTTTATTTTAGAAGCAAAAATTATCCTTCTTTTAACTGCTACAGTAGAGGTTAGAGCTGAGTTGAAGACAGAGAAGGGGAACTTTGCCTTTAACACGGTACTAAAAAGAAGACGAAATCAAAAGACCCTTTAAAGTGTAAAATCCAAAGATAGTTTTTCGGTAGCAGCATGAGCCAAATCTAAACAACCACTAGTCTTTTATGGCCTAGAAATTCAAGGAAAACCAAGTCAGATCGTATGAAAAGCTTCTGCAAGTACATAATTTCTATTATGAATTGCAGCAATAGTGGAAGGTATGAGAATTCCATAAAAAAAGAGAGACAAAGATGAGAGAGGAATGAAGGGAAGAGAAAACGTTTGGTACGAAGGTGTTCTCCATTTCATATGTTTCCGTTAAGCTAGTGACGTATCTTTAATTTAATTAGGAGGTGTTTATTTATTATGAGTTGTCGTTCTGTTATTGGATGGGGATACGAGCTGACGTGGTACCCCGTTGTATAGTAGGCTTTCTCCCTTGATGGTGGGCAACGAAGAAGCCACTCTCGGAAGGACAACTAGAAGTGCAGGACTGAATCTCTACTATATCGTTGGCAGGTCGGGGCCCATCAAATGAGGCTGGAGCTAGACAGGGCAAGTGGGTGCGTATTGTGTTGGTCCTTTTCTCCTCTTAGAGATAATAAACTGACATGATGCCGACTTTGTCAGTTCTAAATCAATCAAAGGTGGGCCTAGGTAGTAATGAGACTGGGCCATATCCCCACATGATCAACCCTTGAAATTTGCTTAATGTCCTTTTGAGTTTTGAACTTCTTTCTTCCAGTGTTCCTTGTCTGTCAGCCAGTTACTTTCGCGTAGGCTTCAGATGGTCTACGGCAGAACAGAAGTCAAATGAACCATTACTTTGAAATTGGGTCCAATCTGGTCGGTTCAACCGATTGTACTGAACCTAATTTTAAAAACATATCAGATTATAATAATAATCTGTTTAAAGTTAATTCGATCAAAATTTATCAAACTTAGTCAACTTAATTGAGCTTACCAATTCAACTTTATTTTTACATTTTTAGATTTGTTTTTCATTTATATATTTTTATTTATTTAATTAATAGATAATATAATAATTATAATACCATGTAGAATGGCAATACCATCTTACATGTAAAATATGATATGTTATTAATTGAATTAATACATATAATATTATTGGTGAATCTTTAAATGAAAAAAACTAATTATATAATAATAAAATATAATATAAATTTACAATATCACGTAATATTGTAATTATAGTTGTTGACGACCACTTAAAAAAGGGATTAAGTGTGAAAATATTAAAGAAAAAGGAGTCGTCACTCGTCTAAATTATAAGGTGAAACAAATCACCTAAAACGAGTCTGCGCAGAGACTGGAGTTCGAGAGTTCGATTAAGAGTAAGTAAGAGCATACGCGCACCTCACAATCCTCCGTTTAAACACGGTTGCATACTTTAAAATTGAGGCTTTAATTCAACTTATTCATTATGTTTGTATTTAAGTCTTAATAGGAAAACTTTAAAAAAAAAGGATAAACCAAATTGAAATATTTTTTAATTTTTGGACTAAAATGGACAAAATAAAAGACATGCATGCACAATAAACACAAATAAAAATTAAATGGACTGATTTAATAAAACTAAAGGACTGATTTGAAAATGTTTGAAACTTTTGGACTAAAGTGCTTGAACATGAAAGGATTGTGCGAAATGGAAATAAAAGAGATAACTTTTGATATTTTTTTACTTTTTAACCTTTTTAGTTTTTTTTTTTTTTTTTTGGGGGGGATTTAAATCGGACTGACCCGACCCAAAAACACGATTCAAGCATAAAAATAGATAAAAAGAAGATCAAACATGCAACCAAAGCGGGAAAACTAGGATTCATGTAATTTCCAGTAACAGCAACACATTCATCAGAAA